ATTTTATGTTTTTTTTTTCCTTTACGAGATTTTATATAAAGTTAGAGTTTAAATCATGGTTTTAATTAAGTAATATATCTAAATTTATGATATTTAATTTTATAATACTTTCTTATATTTGTATTAAATTTATAGAAAAAATAATTTATTAATAATTAAATATATGTATTATTTTTTTGTGAATTTCACAAAATAATAATACATGCCCCAAAAATAAATTTGATTAAATTATTACAATTTACAAAACTAATATAAGAATATACACAATTGCTTAACACTTACAAATGACACAAATACAATTATCCTTTTAATTAATTAATTGATCGATTAATTACGATGTTAAACTTAATCAATGTTGGGAACTTGGGATAATATGATTTGTCCTTTCACTAATGAACTAATTTTATTACTTGTAGTGGAGACAATGCTTTATAATTAATTAATCAATTTATCTAGTAAATTATGTTAAGATTGAATATAGTTATATTAATTCTATGAAAAATTAATTAATTAACTAAGCCTAAACATGCATACAATTGAATAATTAATCAATTTAATTACCTTGTAAATTATGTTAATATTGAACATAATTATATTAATTTTATGAAAAATTAATTAATTAACAAGGCTAACTAAGCCTAAGCCTCTATACAATTGAATAATTAATCAATTTACTTAGTAAATTATGTTAAGATTAGATATAATTATATTAATTCTATGAAAAATTAATTAATTAAACCTAAGTTTGCATACAATTGATTTATAGTAAGAAATTTGGTAGAATATACCAAAAGAGTTAGGAAGTTACAATAATAATTTTGTAGAATATGGTAGAGCTATACAAATATTTGATTTCACTCCCAATCTCAGCATTTGAAAAATTAAATACCTTGATTTTGGCACATTGTGTCTAAGATTGTATTCAAATTCTAGAGCTATGTAATTTGTGTGACATTTAAATTTTAACATTGTGTATTTATTAAATTAAATTTTCACAATTAAAATAATTTAAGATTATTGTCCTAGGAACTGGCAAAAATTCGGGGATAAAATACCCGTCGGGGGGGAGGAGGGGATGGGATTTCCCCTCGAAGCCCCGTTCATTGGGGCGGGCATGGGACGAGGATGGGAGTGACTCCATCCCCACGAGCTGGGGACGATCATGAGAGTTGTTCTTGACCTCAAGAACGGGGTGGGGACGGTCATGGGAGCAGAGATCGGGGACGGGGACAGGGTTGGGGGAGGGGATTATGCAATCCCTGCTGTTAGCATGTGATCGGGTTTACGCAACGAAAAAACACAATTTCAAAACAAATAAAAACCGATCAATGCTTAATCCCAAATTTGGGTACAAATTACAGTGTTTATAAATTGTGCATTACAACAATATAATAAATCTATACAAGGATTCAAAATGCTTACACACGTTTGGAGGCTCCTTCGAATATCTCTGATTACGTTCAAGAACACTTATCACAACACTGTTCACCAGATACTGTTCACCGACACTGTTCACATGATTCTTCACTAATCGATCCAAATAAGGATCGCACTCATGAAAATTCACATGAAGACAATCTGCAGAACCCTTGATTATTTTGCTAGAACAATCAAGGACTTAAAGAATCAATGTTTTTGAGTCAAGAAGAGAACGAATATTTTTCTCTTCAATCAATGAGTGGGCGTGAGAGAGAAAGAGTGAAAGGATGGCTAGGGTTTTTAATTATTGAAATGAATGAATGAATGAACCTCTTGTTTTAATTTAAGTTGCATTTATATAGTGCAACCATTAAAACCCTATTCCAATAAGGAATAGTTATGGGCACTAACCCTAATATTGCAACCAAACACACCCTTTATGGTATTTTAATTAATTATTATTATTATAATTAAAATCAATTAATATATAATAATAAATTAACATTTAATTAATAATAATAATTCATTTAAATATATGCATGGATATATTTAAATATAATATCACTAATTTAATTTTAATATTAAAATTAAATACAGGTAACAACCTCAGCAAATTTAATTGCACTGTGAGATTACCAAAATACCATTTCATCCTGAAAGACAAAAATACCCTTCTCACAAATTGATTCTTAAATTATCTTTTAAGTGTATGACCTGTAGGCCCCTCATCATATCGGCAGTGTGTAATATCGCGATTAACATCAATTAATCGTTTCACTACACACAAACTAAGTTTGACCCCTAGTAAGACATTATGGCCACCTGATAAATTTGGATTCAACGAAACCGCAACTTGTCAATGGTATGGTTACCGTGTAATCAAATCATTTCATCATCTATTATCTCATCGAGACTGAGGTACAGAAATAATGTCTACCTCAGATATCTTCGACATGTTTGTATTCAGTTAATGGACCAATGACCGAAATAATAAATTGGATTGAACATCAACTCAATCCCACTGTGACCACAAATTTAGTGTCATTGCCATTTACTGAATTACCTAGTGAGATAACTTCTCCCATACCCAGGAGTGATAAATCCTTTATCGATCCACCATAGTCTCGATACACTTCTCAATGTAGTCAAACACTACCGTATTAATAGCTTTGAATAGAACTATGTTGGACTAATGTCAAACTACACCAATTGGTGCACAAGGTGCTCCGGTGATCTCAAGTCTAAGATTCACATGCACCACCATTTGTTAGAGGATTTATTCCTAGACACCAGGGTTACCATCCATATGGAATCCTCTGGTGAGTCTGTCTAGTGAACTTGCCTCTAGCAAGAACCTATGTGTTGCACCAAGTTGTCGGCAAACAACCTTGACAAGTGAGATCAGTCACTGCTTTTCGACATGGTCATTCAATGCTATGATAGCCTTACCGTATTATATGTGTCATTGGTCAGACTAATACTAGGGCTACGGACATTTCTAGAATGACCACCATATGTGATCATAGGGTTCTCACTATCAAGATTTGAAATATTTGATACCCTCGTCACAGTTCTACCATCCTAAGGACATATATCATTATATATAACTATGATTTACACAATATAGAAGAATATGTCTTTTATTGATAAATAAACATTTATTACAGTCAATTTTATAATAATAGATTGGCTCTAGGGCACCTACTCTAACACCTACCCTAGCTCGACCTGTCAATCCCGCCCCCGTGGAGATCCACCCTGCCCCGCATATTGTTCTTTTATTGAGAATTTTACGTTTTTTTTCCTTTACGAGATTTTATATAAGGTTAGAGTTTAAATCATGATTTTAATTAAGTAATGTATCTAAATTTATGATATTTACTTTTATAATACTTTCTAATATTTGTATTAAATTTATAGAAAAAATAATTTATTAATAATCCATGTCTTAAAAATAAATTTGATTAAATTATTACAATTTACAAAACTAATATAAGAATATACACAATTGCTTAACACGTACAAATGACACAAATACAATTATCCTTTTAATTAATTAATTGATCAATTAATTATGATGTAGCTACCTTTCAACAGTATGGTTACCATGCAATTCCAATCATTTTATCATCATTTATCTCATCAAGGTTTGAAGTACATAAGTAGTATCAACTTCAATGAATGTACCTTGATATGTTTATATTCGGTTGTCAAATCAACGACCATATAAATTGGATTTGAGTATCGATTCGATTCCACTGTGGCCATAGATTTTACGGTCGTAGTTCCTAACCAAATATCTCAACGAGATAATTTCTCCTGCAACCAGGAGTACTGAATCCTTTGTTGATCTACCATAGCCATAGTGTACTTCTCGATGTAATCAACGACTACCGTATTGATAACCCTAAATAGGATTACGTTAGGCTTGTGTCAAATTACACCAATAATTACACATGACACTCCGATGATCTCAAGTTGAGGGATCACATGCACCACCATCCGTTGGAGGATATATTCCACAAACATTGGTGTTACTATCTTGTGTGTAATCTTCTGATGGGTCAGTCCAGTGAACTTGTCTTTAACAAACACTCATGCGTCACACCAGATTGTCATCTAATAACCTTGACATATGAGAACTATCACTACCTTTCAGTAAGGTTGTTCAATGCTATGATAGTCGTACCATATAATATGTGTCCTTGGTCAGATTAATACTGGGGCCATAGACAGTTTTAGAATGACTATTATATGTGATCATATGGTCCTCACAATTAAGATTTAAAATACTTAATTCCCTCAATTCGCAAATCCTAATATATACGAATATATAAATGAATGCTATGATATAGAAGTTATGCCTTTATTGATATTCAATGATATTATTACAAATGTCCTAATATTATTGGCTCTGGTTCACCTTTCCTAACAGAAGTGAAGAATGAAGCAAGCAAATTCCATTTTTTCCCCCAATTTGCAAATCCTAATTTCTTATTCAATAACCATAATTACATAATAGCCCCACTGTTTTCTGAAATATCATTTAACTCCTGATTCTTAAAGTGGTTCCCACCCGATACTCGGATCCCGATTTTGATTTCAGTTCCCAGGTTGGTTTCGGTTCCTACCACTGGTGGAATCGACACCAGAATCACACAATCCTAGTTCTATCTAATAGGAACCAAAACCGACCTTGTGTGGGTTGGTTCCAGATAGGAACCGGAATCGGCACCTGGGGTACCCATCGGTTTCGATTTTACCCTAAATTTCTGCACAACCCTGGGTGATATGTGTAGATCAATTAAATTTATATTTTCTTTTAATTTATGTTTATTTTTTAGTTTTTGAATTGGGAAAATTAATAGACTCACATGAGTTATTTTGCTATCTATACTAAGACAATAGAAACATTAAGTTATGTCCTACCCATATTGTGCATATATCATGCTACTTTTGTGGTGCTATAAAAACCTATAATATTTGATATATATCACATTCAATTGTATAATTTTATATCACATCAATCCACTACCTANTTATGAGTTGCTCCTCTAGTTACAATGAATATGTTTTTTTCTCATATCAAAATCACTGATCGCAGGCAAGTTCTTCTAGCATCTGAAATTATGGTGTGCATAGGTATACTCCTGAGCTTCCAGATATTGGTCCCTTATTCAGTGCCTCAATATGTTGGCTCAGCACTTATTACCTTTGTGGCCGCTGAAGTCCTTGAAGGTACGGACCTATCAATAATAGTTAAAAGTTCAACACACTTGTATGATTGTATGATCCCATTTGGTTGACCAAATTCAGGTGTGAATTTATCGCTTCTGTCTCGGGTCATGTCATCGAGGCTTTCACGTGGAACCTACAATGGTGGACTACTTTCAACAGAAGCTGGAACCCTGGCTCGAGTAATTGCAGATGGAACAATAACACTATCTGGTTACTTGGGTGAGAGTAGGCTGTTGAATGTAACCTTAATTCCTTCACTCTTCATATGTATCTCCTCCATTGTTGCTACCTGCTTTACCTACAACTCTCTCTACTAATTGGTTACCTTACTCTAATCTACAAAATATTGTACAGCTTAAATGAACTTACTTACTCCCGTATCATGTGACAAATATAATCTCTGATCAATCAATGATGATATCTACTTTATCTCTCTTTTTCTATGTCTTTCAGTGATTGAATTTTATTTATGTTTTCTCCAGTAATAATTAGTCAACTGATCACTAAATACACCGACGGAAAGTGACAAGAGTGGAAATGAAAATTATGCAAATGTCTGTAACGCCCTTGCCTATGTTGTATTTTCAGTTGAAATGCCACATGTGCCCTTAAACTTGCAACTAATTACCGAATAAATTTCTGCAACATCTCCGTGAGATACGGTGCATGAATAGGTAACAGAATATATTATATGAGCAATTTACTAAGAAAAGTCGTAGACGGAGACGATATATGTTGTCAACTACTTAGTTAAGGTACAACCGTTGATGATTTGATTACGAAGGTTGACCTTAATCCTAAAATTGCAACAAGCAGCCTATGGAAATCCGTAATCCTAGATATTATAGTTCAATTAATCTTCGAATATCCAACGTCAACAAGATAATGTAATTATTGTTTAAAAGTTTTATAATGAGAATATAATTCTGAAAATATAATAATTGGATCAAGAACTGATTTTAATATTTATATTTATTTTTTAGTTCTATGAAACTCTACTAGATTTCCAGGTTATTGAACCATGCCTATATATATTTATGACAAGCTAGAAATTGTCACATGCAAAACAAATCCTTCTCTACATAATCTTTCATTAATGGTCTTCCCTTTCAATGGAATACTACATTTAAAAAATAAACATTGCTATATATGTAAACGTCCTGACTTTTTGTTATGTGTTAACCTAAATCGATCGTTATATTCAATTAATCAACAAGATAAGGCAATTATTTATGAGAAGTTTTATAATGAGAATATAATTTTAAAAATAGAATAATTCGATCAAGCACTGATTTTAATATTTATATTTATTTTTCAATTCTACGAAACTCTAGTCAAACGACACAAACCAAGCCGGTAGATTTCCAAGGCTCCATTTGTTTTAATATTTTTACATTATCCTATTCTTGTAATTCTGAAAATACACATTTGTTTTCCTATTTTAAAAATCTTATTCTATTTTATTAAATTCTTTTAAATCCTTAGATTTGTTAATTTAACTAAACACCCAAAAAAATTTTAGAAATTAACAAAAACACCCTCATCCACCCACATTTGCTAGAGTTCAGCCAAGACCACCGTTGGAAGGTGGCCGAAATCTGATATAATGACACACTACCGACTGGATCTGACCAATAGTGCACCTATATACGGAAAATGTCAGATCTACGGCAAAAAATCTAGCCGTTGACAGTCAGATCTTTGGCCGTAGCTAGTCGTCAACGACAATCATATCTTTGGCCGTTGTTGACGACCAAACACGACCAAATCTAGTCGTAAATCTGACATTTTCCTATCAAATCCACGGTGGATCTGATCGGAAAAGGCCATCTAGGCGCACGACTGACCAGATCTAGTTAGTCGTGCGTTGATATAGCAGTTATAGCCACCCTCCAGCGGTGGTGGCTGATTGCCAATATTTAATGGATGGGTGAAGGTGTTTTTATAATTTTTAATATTTTTATTATAGGGGTGTTTAATAAATTAACAAACTTATAAGATGTTTTTATTAATTTTTAAATATTATCTCGCTATTATTACCCAACTCTAACTTTTATAAAAATATTATCCAAAATACTATAACAAACTTAACGGGAAAGACAAATTTTATGGAGACAAATAAAATAAGTCTATGGAGACAAATAAAATAATGAGCTGGTTCACTTCAAATTCCTTTTTTCCGGCGCCAAGCCTGATGTCACTTACGAGTCTGACGTTGACCTAAACAATGGAACCTTCTCTCTAAAAAAATAGACCACTCAAGTCAGAGACTCAAGAGACTGGCCTCAAATTCTTTCTTTTTTGCTGTTTAGTGCATCCTCAATTCTCTGTATAGCAAACCGGCAGACAGCCAGACACAGCAAATTAATTCTCCATCTCCATCTCCATCTCCATTTTAAACTCCATCTCCAATTAATACTCCGTGAAGGGCCCTGGAGTAGATGGAAGAGCAGAAGAGCGGCGGAACTAGTGATACTCTGGACTCACTCTCAGTGTCACAAAGCCTGCCCAAAAGTGAAAGGTGCCAAGTAAACTTCTTATTTTTGTTATATGTTATTGCTTTAACCTAGATCCATCCTTATATTATAGTTCAATTAATCTTCGAATATGTCATTTAATTTTCCGATTTTTAGCCATTTCAGTGTCTTTTATTGTCAATATTATTTGATGAGCCAGAACAGGCTTAAGGGCCCTGCGTTGAGGACACAGTGTTGTGATTTAGATAAATGAAAATTAAAACGGTACTATAATCATACCACCCAAACAAAGCATCTCAGGCATAGGCAAGGTCAACCAAAGCTATCTAGCCAAGCCAATATCGACGAAAAAAAGAGAACTAAAACGCTTTGTTAGTTAATTAGAGTGTTAGAACCGGAGAAAGTTTTTTTTCTTTGCTGGAAGTCTCGAATCCAATTTCTACACTTTGAAGGGCAGTTCACTTCTAAATTGGATAGCCCTTGCTAGTTGAGGCAAAATCCGATCTCACCTTCGAGTCTGCATGTGTTAAGCATATCGCAGCATTCTAGCTTTCTTCCAATCTCAGAAAAGGATCTTAGGCAAACGGGGACCGGCTTCGCGAGACCATTTCGGACTAAACAGGGCTAAGCTCTTTGGGCGCTGCTTTCTGGATCAACTCTCTAAAGAATTGGAAGAGGCTCTTGTCTATGCTTTGTTCTCTTATGATCTTTCTGGTTAGAAGGGCAGTTCACTCAGAAGCTTATAGAGGGCGGGGCTTTGATGGAAAATAACAGAAAGAAAGCTTCAAAAAGTGCACGAAAATCCCTTCCTTGGAAGACCGACCTGCACCTCTAAAGCAAAGAACTTGTCCTTAGCTGCTGAATTTGACTTCTTTCTGGTATTTTTCATCTGCTTTGCATCTTCTTAATTACATTTATTCATTCCGCTTCAAAATTAACGAGCCAGACACTTGTGGCTTTGCGGATCTGTTCAATCGCTATTGTTATCTTCTTCTTCCTCTCCTTCTTGTTTATTTGGGCCATATCCAATTTTTGTTTCAATAGCTCTTTCAAATCCATCACCACCTCAACCATCGCCTACCACTCCGTTATTTTTATCAATGGCCAAGCCGTGAGGCCATGGCAGCGACATAAAATTGAAACCCATAAGCCACCGTGGTCTGGTAGCTCACCGGTGGCCTAGATAGCAGGCGGAAAGCCGCAAATCAATGGCCAAGCCGTGAGCTATTTGGCCCAAAAACCACAAGCCAAAGGTCCAAACTTCGATTTTACTCTAACCAAATCAATAAAAAACATCCATTTTAATAATTTTTTCAAGTTTGAATTTTATTTCATAAGTTCAGTTATCTTCGTCTTCCTCTCCTTCATATCCATCACCACCTCAACCATCGCCATGGCAGCGACGTGATATTGCAAAGTCTTTTTATTATAATAAAACTTACGTTTTACGATTTTTTATTCGTTAAAAGACTATTTTGCCCATCCATTATATGGTTTGGCCTTAGAAAACGGAGCTGGAGGGAGGTCCTTGAGGGAACTTAAATACTCGGGAGATACTGAGGAGTTTTCATATATTTGGGTGAAAAGATAATTGGCTGAACCCTTAGGGGAGGTGCCCTGATAATATCTCTAATTTTGATCAGTTTTAGGTGATATCAATAAGCAGTTTATGTATTTAAAAAAAATTGCGGATTTATGAGAATAGAGGGGGACTATTTATCTCTTTGTTGATGACCTAAATTGTATAATATATATGAAGCAAATTGTAACATATTTTGATGGTTGTGCAGTGGCCAAAATTTAATTCCCTTGATGCCATACCATACGGCCTTCGCATTTCTGATACCGTTGCTTATAGGCATCCTGTGAGTTTATGCTCAAGGGAGAAAGAACATATTTGAAACAAACTTTGCAAATATATGGATTTTTCTGGTGAACACATTGTTTTATTGTTTTGCCTTGGTAGCAGACTTGAAATATCAGCATCATCAAACAAATTATTCACAGTATTTGGGTCCTGTTGCCATCATCTCAGGATCTCTCTCTTCAGCTTCAATCATCTCTATCTTGGTTGGAGACGTCGCTTTTGTAATATGGGCTTTTGTACCTGTTATTGTTGCCTACCAGCATGCCACTGCGCTTAAAAATGCTTACAATTTGCTTCTGCAAAAGATCAAAAGTTCAGCATTTATCAATATGGCGTATGATTGGTTCAAAGGAAGCAGTTCGGTGGAACAATCAGAATTGCCAGTGTAAATGGACATCAAATTTTGTCCCTCGAAGTGGCAACTTCAAAAAATTCAATTCAATTTGTGTTTCGTGTGTGAGATTCATTCCAAGTGCGGTTCAGTTTAAAATTTTAGTTTGTGTGTATAATTAGGGAGATAGCTTATTATTGTGAGCTGTATCTATACCATGTAACCATATACATAATAAATATATACAAGATTTCTATTGATTAATTCCTGTTATGAAATTAACCAAGAAACAAAACACAAACAAAAATGAAATCAAGAACAACACACACAATCAACACCGGTTTTTACCATGGTTCACTTGTCCTATTTGAGCAAGCTATATCTACGTTGAACTCCGAAAAAAGAGAGATCGCTGCACTATGATTAACTGAACAACCACTTACAGTCACAGATACAAGAATACACCAAAAACCCCAAATCAAACACCGCTAATTCAAATCCGTAATCTGCCCTAAGAATACTCTAAACCTGGAAATCCTATACCAAGAACACAGTCGTTCTTCCCTTAAGTAATTACCCCACAATCACTCAAGATACCACAGATTACAAAAGAAATCAGACTTAGAAAATTATCAAGAACCCTAACAAAGAATGATGAACACAAAACAGGCTCTCTCTCGTTTGATGACCTACTGTATTCATGAAGACCTTTTCCTTTTATAGTGTTGACTTGTGGCTTGATCTCATCCGTTGGATTGTC